TATATGTGTAAAGAGAATCCTAAAGTTGCATCAACAGTGGAAAAGAGCTAAGAAAAATATCACTGGTATGTAAACAAATCTATTCAATGCAAGTATGTCATTTAAAGGAATAGAAACAGACATTTGGGGAAATACACACCTTTCCTTTCTCACCTTGATCAAGACAATCAAAATCAAGTATGGTTAATAAGCCAGGAGGCAAAAATGTTAGGAGTGGTGTTGGCTCGTGGATGATGATGATATAATCAACGTGTCTTAACAAAATAGTCGTGCTTATGAAAACTAGAAAGATATTTGAGAATTATCGATAAGAACATGTAAAAATTGTTGAAAAAACTCACTTAGTACCTCATTTGCATAAATGAAAGACTGCATAGAGCATGCTGGCTTAGTTTATCATACAAACTGAATAAAGGGGGAGAGAGCCATTATTCTTCATTAGAACATCTCTTTCCATTTCAACATCCTAATGGTCTTTTATGAGCACTTCTGTTCTGTTTCATGAGAGATATTGATATGATTATCGTAATCCATTACTCTGCCTGTCCATTAGTCTGTGTGTCAGCTGCCATGTGCTCTGTTGGATCAATGCTCTTCTCCACCGACCAATGACCTGGAAAAAGCTGAAAAAGCTTTGCCTACTCTGCTATCAATAGACCGTCTAATTAAGAACAGCACCCTTGGAGTAAGCTCCGTCAAGTAGCGAAGACACTCGCCACAATTGTGTGAGAATTCCCTCATTAAACCCAAACCTGAAGCTTCAGCAGATTAACAGAGAAGCTGTGATTTCACTTCCTTTGACTTCGGCCTCAGAATGTCGAAACACAAGAGGATGTTATCGTGTTTGTGGGCAAATATTAAGAGATGAGTGATAGTTTTGTTAGACTGACCTAATAGTGTGTCTCCGTTGTTCTCTGCATTACATTTTAACTCATGGATGTCCTTGTCTGACATAGCAGGGGGTTATTCTGGCACTGAAGGAGGCCATCTGTTCAGCCTAGAGTGAAATGAATAGGATCTCTTCTAGGTCAGGATTGCAAACTAATAAGACAAGATTGGGGTAGAACTCTTTAAAATGTTGGGCTTTCCAATAGACCATGGATCAGTAGCAGCCAGTTGCAACAATTAGAGAAAGAACACATCCGTGAAGAACGGATTCTTGCTGACGGACGTGACAAGCAGCACAGCATGCATCCTCTTCCCTAGAGTTAGAGCAAAGATGAGCTAGATACTTAAACAAATCTTGGGCCGACTCACAAGCTGTAAGCAGAAACGCCAGCTAGAGGAGCTGATGGGGCCCTCATAAAACCAGCCATCCTGCCACAGTGCCCGCAGCATGAGCCCACGAGCCAACTTTATCAGGAACCAAAGGAAGGAAGTGCTTCAAACCTGAATGAGAAGGTGTGGGAAACCTTCAGGTTGCCCTTACATATGGCCTCATTCAGAAATGGTAAAAGTAGAAGTACTGACTAAACTTCTTTACTCAAGTAAAAGTAAAGAAGTATGGCCTTCGAAATGTACTTCAGTAAAAAGTACCCATAACTAGCAGCTGTTTTAAAGAGTACCTGACCTCCCTTTATATGAATAGAACAATAATGTCGTTGTTAGCTAATGAATGTTTCCATGCTGAACAACGGCAACATGACAACGTTTTCATTGGTCCCTCTTCTTTAGAGAAGACCAGGAAATGATGGATACATGGGTCGTGTTCAAATCAATAGGCACGCAATGACTCTAAATAATAATGATCGCGCCACCAAACGCAGATTAAAACTAAAGTGACGAACCTGTTTTGAAAATGTAAGAAGTAGAAAGTACAGGTATTAAAAATGTAAAAAGTAAAAAGTGGAGTAAAGTACTGATACCAGAAAAATGTAAGTACAGTAACGAAGTATTTGTACTCCACTACTTCCCACCTCTGGCCTCATTGCAGAGCTCATGCACAGGCGAAGGCAGCCAACACAACAAACTGCACGCATGGCCAGAGAGGGTGGGCTGTGTCAGGGGAGGGGCTCTGCTCTGACCTACACCAGCGCTAATACTGTACAACTACAGTGTAGTAAAATATGAAAGACCAGGATAGTTTCACTGTTCCTGGATGAGGTTTGTTTGACCCAAACAGCCTGGAGGTATTTGGGCATCCACCCTCTCCCTCCAGCTTCACCACCACAACTCCCCCCCAGCCCGAAGGCGAGACCCACGTGGCGACACAGCGGCTGCCTTGCTCAATGGCCCAACAGCAGGGCTTTTTACCCGAGCAGAAAAAGACCCAAGAAGATCAAACCCTCCTTGACCTGGCACAGAAAACCTATCTGGAGACCGACATCGACAATGTGAGGAGGAATGACCAGTCACAGGAAGTAGAGACAACACCACAGCAGGAAATAGACGAGAGAAACGTGATCCCACCTCCTCCACAGTTCTGTGAAGGCTTTGAATTGAAGTGTCCCTTTCCGGAGTTTCATCGCGACTTCCCCAGATACCCCTGCAGATCTGCCTCTCTGCCCAGGGGCACCAACATGGTGAGTGATGAGAGTCATCCCAGGCTTTAATCACAGCCAGGCTGAGGAACATATGCTATGATTGGAGTGGAAATTGTTCCTCACAGAGTTTGAAGTGATGCCTGAGTAAATGAAGGCTGCATGATTTGAGTAAGTCACTCTTGATTTTGATCTGGGGCTTTTCTGCTCTACAATTCAGAGCAGGGAAGAAATAGGCAAGTCATGATGAGGTTACTTTGTCTAATGCAGACTATGAAGATATGTTTTAATCGAGATTATAACAACAGCATACAGGAAATAATCCACACATCAAAACCTCAAGAAATACAAAAGTAAGGAAAGGTGTGTATAGAAAAATATGAAATAGAACTTTTATGGACACAGTAGGGAAGAAATAAATATGTTATGCCAAACATTTAGTCACACATACATACATAAGCCCTTATCCCCACAGACACCTCAAACCAATGCACAAACACTCGCTTATAGTTATAAACATATATATTAAGATTTAAGTAATTAACTGTTTTTAGTTGCAGCAGGCGGTCGTTTTTAAGAATAAGCTCTTAACAGGCAAACAGGCAAAGATAGCCACTAGCTGGTAAACATGGTCAAGCAGGTTCACTTAAACAGACCTAAATACCCTGATAATGAATAATAGCTGCTTTAAAGAAAAATGTAAAATATTTTTCACACGAGATAAAAAGTCTAACAAAGGTACATCATAAGAATTGACCGCAGACATGGCTCCACTCAGGTGATCTGTGTGCACAGGAGCGCTGCTTCATGCTGACCACTGATCTGGCTTTTATGGTTGCGCGCTCATTAGCATTCTACCCATCAGCAACTCCTCCACACACAATCCAAACTGAACAATTACTGACTCAGCCCCCTCAGCAGCATTTACTGTGTCACATCCATCATTTAATCAGCTTGAGACATACTCTTGCAAAAATGGCCGTAGAGGCAGAGAAACCTGTGTGAAAACTGTTTCTCTCAGGAATAGCAACTGGTGGTTTCCGTATGTCACCTGAAGACAAGCCTAAAGGCTCAATTAGAAATGACTACATAAAAAGTGAGTGTATTTGCAGTATCAGCATGACACTTATCCCTGCTGTAGATGATGATCCATCTGGTTATTCACCTCTTGTTTCAAAATGTATTATTCCAGTCTCTAGAAAGCATAACCCGGCATTATTATGACTATGTTTTTGCATTCAGGACAATCTGTAAACATGCGACTGTACTGTTCACAGGCGAGTTTTAATTTGCGGTCTGTCGGTGTTTCCCCTGGAACCCAAAACACTCTTGACAGATCCCTCCGCCATTTAATAATAAAGCAGAAGATCACATTGCCTTAATTTATTGTCTGATTAAAATTCAGCCTTTGCCGTCACCTTAGCAACTGCTTGAAAAAAAAAAAAAGGTGGGTGGTGTGGGCGCTGAGAGAGGCAGGCATGTGAGCCTGTTGGTGTTCATCTTTCAATGTAGTGTGCTAGTGTGTGTGCAAAGTTTCTCACACAAGTCCTTGCACTTGTGTGAGCGCACTAACGAAACATTCTTCACAGGCACACGACCTTCAGCTGTGCACTCGCTAAGGATGCAAACTCCAATCGTTCAGTATCCTTCCCCCCGGCTTAGAGGCTTGTATTACTTGGTATTCTGTCTCCATTATGTTTCACGCACCCTGGAGACGTAATATTGTCTTTGCAACGATTGTTCCCTCCATTAATAAAACTAGTGGACGTTAATCCTGCTCCCCAGTATTCCTTGATAACACGGCAGCATGTGATCGGGCCTGCACCCTAAATCTGAATGAGGATGAGAATACTGTGATTCATAATTCATCGCCTTCAGAAAGAGGGCCCGCAGACTTGTAATGCTTTCTCCCTAACGGTGGGGGACTGGAGATTCAACAGATTGGACCACCTGTTTCCCCTCACCTCCCCCCTTCTCTGCCTCCTATCTCCATCTCTTTCCACACCCCCTCCTCTTCATCTCTTTCTCTCCGATTCAGCATAATGATATTGAGTTGCTGCCAGCATCCCTCGTGGGGGGGCTTGCTATGTATCTGCAGTCTGGCTGCAATGGAGGTTTCCGCTCTCCCTGCACACCCCCTCCTCCCCTTCTTTCCCCTCTCTTTTATCACTCTCACACTCTAGCTATGATATGATTGTTCTCCTCTCACCTCGAGTAAGCGCAGATGTAGACAGCCTGATGAGGGTTTTCTCACCAGCGTGGAGGGAGCGGAGGGAAGAGATAGAGTGGGGGGGGGGGACATAAGAGCGCGCCTGCTGAATATGTATGTTTTGTTTCTGTTTGTGCTGCAGCGATGCTACTTAGCAGTTATGAGTCCCCTCCACTAACATGCTGTCATTTCCTTTAGGTACCTGATGAAGAGATGAATACCATCAGGTAAGCTTTCCCCCCTTTTTCTCTCTCTCTCTCTCTCTCTCTCTCTGCACATATCTTTCAGCTCTCCATCATCACGCCCCCGCGTCTTCTTCCTTTAAGCTCCTTCCCTCCCACTCTTCCTTTTCTTTCCACTCTTGCACAGTCCCTCTCCCTCTCTGTCTTCCCTCCTGCCTCCTGTTGGAGTTGCGTTGTGGTGTCGGAGGTGGCGGCAGTGTTGGTGGGATGCTGTGCATGTGCTGGGGGCTTCTCTAAACTGTAAAGGGGGAAGCTGCGTTCGCATTTAAAAAAGGGGGTTTTCTCCATTTCCCCGGCGAGAGGCTCAGGCGGCAGGATTTGTATCTCTCAGTCTTCGGGATGAGGCTCTGCGTGAGCGGAAGGTACTGCTTCACCGTTTGCATCTCTGATATGGATTACAAAGCTGGTTGTGTGTGTGACTGTGTGCTCATCTGTATGTGCTGTGGCTGCACTCACAGTATCACTTTGTGCTCTCTGTGTATTGATGCTGCTTTTTATGAGAGTTTGTCAAAGATAAAAGGGTGTTTTTTTAGCTACTGGTTGTACGCAGGGAATGTCTTGGCTTAAACAATTCACTGCAGCGTATATATGGCGTTACTGTAAAATATTGTTCTCTAAGGAATCATTCAGGTTTTTTTTTAATTAGTCTTGGATGTGTTATGGTGATAAACATGTCCATCATTGACTCTTAAACATCTGCTTCTGCATGATTTTAGACAATCACCTGTCGGAATGCACCCATGGCACTGATTAATGACTGCATGGCAGCGCTGCTTCTCCCTATGAGCAGCTAAGCCGTAGAAGCTCTAATCAAGGATTTTGTATGTATTTAGATTAACCTGACAGTCCTAATCATTCACACAAGGCCTAGGTAATAACTGAACTGATGCCTTCACATGCAGGCGTAAACAGGTTTTAATGAGTTCATTACAAAATTACAAGTGCTCACCCACTTTTCTGATTAAAGTCGCATTAGGCAGGAATTAAACCAAACAAGATGCAGGAGAGAATCCTTATCTTCTTTTTGTGGTTTATTTACTTCTCTCCTTCTCACCTCACAGTACCGTAGACACGTTTTAATTGATATTATTACTAATGAACCGTTATTAATCTGCCACAGCTGCAAATACATCCCGAGCTTTCCCCTTTGTGTTCGATTACTGATGGTGTTATTACGATTTCAGGCAGATTACAGTATGAAAGCCGTTTAACCAGAGGGTGAGGGGATAATTAATCTGACGGGGTGTTTCTCCAATATCAGGCGTCAGTTGTCCTCACCTCCGTGTCACAGCTTTAATTGAATTAAAGCCGCTTTCCCGAGATAAGGAGGGGTACTCCCGTGACTTTTCTCCTGGCTTTGTGCTGAATAGGAAACAAGGTGGCCTCTGAAGACGCTGTGAGGAGGTTAAACAAGAAGCTGGATCTACCTGAGAGTCTGACCTTACATATTCATCCCAGCCGCCCCCACATCTCATCTCCGAGATGCCTCCCAGTCAGCGTGATGAAATGTCCTGAAATCTCTTGCTCTCTCTTGCTCTTTCTCACTTTCCCTTTCGCAATTTCGGTCCCTCTCTCGGTCGAGCTCCTCCACCGGGCTCTCTGTGGAGCAGATGGAGATGTAAATGTTTCAGAGCACAGCAGGGAGCTCCAGAGCGGGGGAGAGACCTCGCTTGGATAAACAGCTTTTACGTTTTTTTTAAGTGTTTTTTAAATAGTGTTTAAACATTTGATATCAAAGCAAATATAAAAGATATATATATATAGCAATATTCTGCCGAAGTTCTGTATTTAAAAAAGATTGACACCAATTGAAAAGAAAAGTGGCAGCCGCTCTGCCAGAATGATTGACAGGACCAAAATTGAATGCTGCTTTTTGAAAGAGTGATGAGAAAATAACCGTCTTGGGTGGCAAGAAAACAAGTTTTTAAAGTATTGGGATCTTCAATGATGAGATTCAGTCATTTTAGTCAGTTTATGATTTAAACTACACGCATTGTAAGAAAGAACAGTGTTAAAGGTGGGGTAGATAAGTTTGAGAAACCGGCTCGAGATACACTTTTTGTTATATTCCATCGAATGCTCTTAACATCCCGATAGCAATGAATATCTGAAGTGCTTTGACAAAAAATCCATAAAAAAATGTCATCCTGTGAAGCGTGTACTGTAAAAAAGCACGACAAACTCATCTGAGCCGGCCCGGCTAAAGTAACTGGATGGCCTACCGTGCCTGTCAGCCCTTCCATCTGTGCACAAACTTATCTCGTGCCCTCATTTGGTCATGTGCGCGTCCGTGTGTGTTGGAGGAAGGGCTTTAAGGAAGTGGCAAGTTTTTTCCGGTTGTGTAATTTTCAAATTCTACGCGCATCAAGCTGGTTTCTCCAAAGTACCTAACCCCACCGCCACCCTTTAAATATAAGCAGCATTTAAGACAAAGCACTTGTATTAAAGGGAGCCTTTACTCTTTTGCCATTTTGGCTAGGAGATGCTTAATGGATGTTCGAAATGGCTTAAATAACGCCCACAGTCCAACTAAGGTCCTAGCTTGTTCTGTTTCATCCATATCACAATGACCTTATCAGCAAGACCCTGAGTTAGTCCATTGCGGTACTGTTGAAGTTGAGTTTATAAATATATTACTCTACCATGGTGAAAAATATTGTTTAAAGTATTTAATTATATTTTGTTGAGATACAAATGTGACAGATGGGCCGGCAACACCCATCTTGTTTGTTTGATCTGTGCAAAAGCCAAAGTGTAAAATGTGTTGCCACTTTACTTCCTGAAGTCTCCACTGATTGGCTGATCAATCAACCAATAATCAAACAGGAGAAAAAGCGATAAACGATCAACTTAAGTGATTTTTTAATGCAAATAATGCCGTTTTATAACCTCTCAAATATGTACATTTTCAGCTTTAATATCATTTTATATCATATTAAACTTTGGACAGACATACGAGACTTAACTTTGGACTTTATGAAGCTGGAAATTAAAATATGTCTGAGTGTTGATTCTTATACAGATGAAACAAACAGATATAAGATGTTCATTAGTGAGCTTTGGAGGTGCTGATACGCAGATTTCATTACAGGCCAACCCAGTCTCATGGCATTTCGTGTTATAGTCACGAAATGTAATCTATTGATTCGTGTTCACCAACACGATTTCCCCCTTTTTTTCGTGTAACATAGAACGATTTTAAAAGCAATGTATTTCTATTGGTAGTATGTTTCGTGCCTGCAGCACGTCTTTTTGTCCGGTCGGGTCTTGGAAGACGGAAGCTGTGTGGTTCATAAAAGCATGTCCTTGTATTTCTACTGGTAATGTGTTTCGTGCCTGCAGCAAGTCTTTTTCTCCGGTCGGTCATGGAAGACCGGAAGCTGTGTGGTTCATAAAAACATGTTGTTTCTCAATATCAAGCCACAATTATTGCTTTTATTTTAAATCGTATAATTTCGGACTTTTGTTGCCGTCTGTGAGGAAAACAAATGGGGCTCAGAGCCTCAAAATACTGAAATCTGTATTTTTTAAATCTTTTTTTCCTTCTAATTTGTTATTCTTTTCAAAATAACACACTGTTATTTACTCAACAATAACACACAATTATCCTTGCTTTTATTTATTGGTTTGATTCCATAATCTCGGGCTTTTTTGGCATCCGTCAGGAACTGAATTTGCAAAATAAAAATAACGCCGGAAAGCAGACGTAGGCCTCTAGGAGTTTAGGATGGCCGAATACACTAGCACTCAGCCCATCAATCCCCCAGCTACCGTTTAGGACTACAGTCCCCGTGAATTAACTCTTCAAAGGCTCTGGGATTGGATGTTGATGGCCAGTGCGCCAAAGGTTACGCCCGAGCGTCAAACCCAAGCTGCTTGAAATGGAACGAGACCACGCCAGACTATCTCAAAAACTGAATGGAGACGCCCCCCAGAACTGGCAGCCCCATGGCTGGGGCTATTGTGTTTCGCCAATAATGTTCCTGTGGGGTTAGCGTGCCTCTACTGCGAAGCGTTTTGCTGTTTTCCCAGCCCAATTAGAAAGTTGTCGCAGTATTTGAAGCAAATTGGTGTTATGCAAATGTAAAAAGCATATAATTATAAATGGGTGAAAAAATCAGATTGAGTGCGGGGCATAATGCGGGCAGCATTAATCATATGCAGGACTCAGTCTTCAGAAAATTAGACCATATTCGATGATAAAGTTCGTTTTATTTTCTGTAATGGCATGTAAAAACAAAAAAATTTGCATACATTTGCTGGATTCATTACACGAATCAACTGAAATATTGGCAAGCCCTTTTTATTATTTCAAATATTGCCTGATTATCGGCGACAATACCCAGCTTAAGAAAAGCTGAATAACTATGCTAAATTATCTTAGGAATATCATGCACGTTAGAAAAGTATAACTAGTAGAGTGTTCAACGAATGCACCCTTGATCGTCCTAATTAAGCCTTCGAACACCTGCAAGGGTTTGCCTGAGCCCCTCTGAAAAACAGCTCCAGCCTTGGTTGCAGTAACTGAAATGCACCCAAAGTAGGGGAAGACTCGCTGATCTGACCCTGGCTGTCCCAGAAGGACGCTGTCCATTTGACGGACGCCTCCCCGAACATAGCAGGAGGGTAAGGCAACAAAAAAGAAATTTCTGCAAATAAAAAGGGGGAAAGCCCAAGCCCTGTTCACCCAAGAGTGGGCAGTTTCAAAGGGCGCAGCATCCGAGCAAAAAAGTGCTGTTGCGAAGGGGAAATGTGGGCAGGAAAGCCGGGCTGCAGCCAACAGCCCAAAAGAGAAGATGACCGCGCAGGGCCTTAACAGCATTGTGAAGAAGAGTGCGGCTGCCCCTAGATTTGGGGGA